GTGATTGGATGCGACGAATGTGTCGTTGTTTGAACTGTGTGTTTCAGCTTGAGGGATGATGTTGTTTATGTGCGTGGATGTGAATTACTAAGCTAATGTGAGTACGACAAGGAGAAAAAAATAAAAACCCCTTGTCTTCTTACATCTAGATTAGTAAATTAAATGTAAGGGTTTTAGTTTGAATGTTAGTATAACAAGAGGAAAAAATAAATAAAAAACCTCTTGCCTTCTTATCCTACGTTAGTAAATTGAAACTAAAACCTTAAATTTAAATGTTGTTAGTATGACAAGAGAAAAAAACAAACGAAAAAAACCTCTTGTTTTCTTATCCTAGGTTAGTAATATCCTTCAGANTGTTGTTTATGTGCGTGGATGTGACTTACTAAACTAATGTGAGTACGACAAGGGGGAAAAAAAATAAAAACCCCTTGTCTTCTTACATCTAGATTAGTAAATTAAATTTAAGGTTTTAGTTTGAATGTTAGTATGACAAGAGGAAAAAAAAATAAAAAACCTCTTGCCTTCTTATCCTACGTTAGTAAATTGAAACTAAAACCTTAAATTTAAATGTTGTTAGTATGACAAGAGGAAAAAACAAACGAAAAAACCTCTTGCCTTCTTATCCTAGGTTAGTAATATCCTTCAGAAATAGCAAAGGAAAAAGTCGTTCACTTACGAAGCGACGCTTTCCATCTTTGACCACACCGAACGACAGGATCCCACTCGTTGGAAAAGGGAGGAATGATCGAAACATTCCTCCCCTCCCAGTGCGTCAAAGATGATGTCGTCAACATGGAGACATTTCACCTTTCGGAACACGTCCGAATGGCGAAATGTCTCCTCTCCGTTCAACGCGGAACAGAGAATGCTGTCGACATCCGCTATTCCCGAAGGCGATCCCGTGAAGCAAGAACCCCTTCCGCAATCAATCGAAGAGAGTTCCTCTCCCCGCTCAAAGGGGGAAAAGACCCTCTCTTCATCGATTGAGGAAGGAGAACGCCCTTCACACTTCTTCGTCTTGGGCCGCAGCCAACGCCAAAACCGCCAGCTCTTCATTCTGCAAAGAAACAAAAAAATATATATATATTAATGGGATGCGGATATACTTAACGCAGAAAAAGCTCAAGATTATACTCACGTCGGATCGGAATTCGTGCAGCTCGCGTTAGATCCTACCGGAAATTGCTAGAAGGTTCGAACTTCATTTGCAGTAGAGACGACCGACCCGAACGAATAAACTCTCTTACGTGTAATTTGTATTTATTTGTACAACAGAAAAGTAAAGACAAAACAGAAAAGTAGCCATGCGTAAAAGGCACTCGTACTCGATCTCGAGCCCAAGTTGTAACGAGTGTTTCGTTCTAGAACAATTTACCCTAACGTGCGTCACCTAAACGCAACGACGGCATTTAAAAGAGTTTCTCGTGCGAAGAAATTCCGTACGAGAGTCGACGAAAACACAAGACGTGCCCGCAGCCGGGACACGAACGTTTAAGTGGCACAGAGCATTTGCAGAGGGTTACGTAAGTGTGGAAGATGGACTGCACTCGGAAAAGACCGCGTTGTGGAAAGAGACAAACAGCTTAAGGAAAAGAATTCTTTGTGTCCAGCCTGTATAGATAACTGTTAAGTGTATTAGATTGTGTTTTAAGTCGCACAGCTGCAGACAATTTAATTCTCGCAAAGTAAGCCATTGAAAAGCGTTGTAACTAATACGTAGATTCAATGGAGAAGTCGGAGGTGAAAGGGCGAAATTTTTGACGTCCCGGATGTGTCGAAGGAACGTGTCATGCTTCAGAATGCGGTCTCCGTGTATCCTTCGGTCCATCCGGTTTCGAGTGTATATTTTAGTTAAAATTACGATACGCAATTCGTATTTAGAGTTAGTATTAAATAAGTTTTAATCGAATTTCTATAAATAAGATATTTGCAAATAATCCTTATTCTTTGACCGTGTTTATAAAATATAATCTAAATTAATTAATTACGAAAATAAACCAATGAACAAATACTTAATCCTTTGCGTCCGTCGTTTTCGGCGCTTCGGTCGCTTTCCAATGTGGCGGCTGGTTTAAAAGTCGAAAGAGGTGCGTTTCGGATGGTAATTCAAACGAAAAACACAAGCGACGGCAGATTTAAACGCAAATATGCAAAGTCCGAGTCGGCCGATGTCGTCTCCGAAAGTTGGACTAAACGAAACGAAAATAAAATCTTACAGCTAGCTAAATTCTAATTAAAATCTTACTTGGTGTAATGTCGGCGTCCACAAGTCTTCTTAAAACCATGTAAAAAAGGCAAAAAACACAGCAGAAACCAGAGCAAAGAGCGCACATGTCCATCCGGCAAGCGAAAAACGTGCAAAGTGACGCAAAATCGTGTTGCAACAATACGCGTTTCCATAGAAACGGCAATTGTTGCGAGATTAGAAAGCTGGCAACGAATTCGAATGCGATTGACGTCATGGATTTTTTTTGAATTTTAAGGCTAAATATCTGCATTTTTCACATTTCTATCCCCAGAGTGACGACGGATTAGGATCGAGAAACCCCTTACCACCCTCCGCCTTCGGTTTCCATTCTCCACAAGGGGTTAGAAGCGAGATTTTCTATAATCGAACGTCACCTTTTCCTCGCCACCCCCTAAAACAAGAAAAAATCCTTCCTCTCGTTCGTCCAGTATTTTCCGACAAAGTTTCCGATTGACCGACAGCGCAATTTTAACTGAATTTCGTAATATTTCGTTTATCCGACGCCATTTTAAGAGTGCTTACCTGACGTCATCGGTTATATTAAATATGCGTATTATAGTTTAGTTACGTAAACGTTAATTAGTATATTAAATAAGCAAATTTTATGAATTCACCTGACCAATAAAAAATATCGTGTATGTATTTTACACGAAACAATCAAATATAGATCTTTCTATGTTCAAACTGAGAAAAAGATCGTTCGTTTCAAGAATGTAACTATTTTTATTTAAAAAAAAATCTATCAATAGCAACGAGATGCGTAACTTTCTCGGCTGTTGTGAGATTTTATTTAGAAAATAACTTTTATACTTTTAATTATAAGAAATAAAATTGTGTGTGGCGTTATCTGTTATGAGATTTTGTTATATAAACTTTTCATATTTTTAATTATTATAAAATGGCAAAAGGTTTAATTTTAAGGATATGAAAAAAAAATTATAAATGCTAGTAACGAATAAAATCTTCATTAACTCCGACCCTGTTGAAATATCACACGTGACCCCCGCTCTATCTCCCTATCCTCTTGACCTTTAAGTTTTTTTTTTTTTTTTTTTTTACTCTTTTAAACACAAGACTGTGTTATTATTAAAAAACAAAGTAATGAGACTAAAGAAGAAACCAAGAATGTAGTATATGAAATCCCATGTACTTGTAAAGATA